CAGAGCCCACATGACTGTCTTAATGTTTTTTGCATTAACCCATTCGTCCACCCTGCCTTCATGTCCACTCCTCTGGGGCCAGGGAGCTTCCTTCACTGACCCTTCTCTGCATTCCCATTGCCAAAACTGTCTGCAATTCTAGCCACCCCTCTCACCAACCTTTCTTCAAACCCACAGAGGTGGCATGTCCAAGCACTGGCCCAGCCCCTCAGCACAGGGCTGCCCATGTCTTCTGGCACAGTTAACGTGTCATCCTTTTTATTTTTTTAATTTATCTTTATTGTTGAACTAAATGTCATCCTTTTTTTAAAAAAAAAAAATATTGTTGAAAGTATTACATATGTCTCCTCCCCACCCCCACCCCCCTCTTCTAGCCTACCCCCGCTCCCCACCCCAGGCCTCCACCACACTATTGTGTGTGTCCATGCCTATATACATACAAGTCCTTTGGTTGATCTCTTCCCATCTACCCCACTTCCTTCTGAGATTCCAAAATATGTTCTATGCTTCTGTGTCTCTGCATCTATTTTGTTCCATCAGTTTATTAGATTCTACCTGAGTAAGATCATGTGACACTTGTCTTTCTCTGGCTGGCTGCTTTCACTTACCATAATGCTCTCCAGGTCCCTCCATGCGTCTCAAAGGGCAAGAGTTCTTTCTTTTTTACTGCTGCAGAGTGTTCCATGGTGTGAATGTACCACAGCCTTTTTATCCACTTGTCTACTGACGGGCACTCAGGCTGTTTCCAGATCTTAGCTATTGTAAATTGAGCTGCTGTGAACATAGGGGTGCAAACATCCTTTCTGATTGGTGTTTTGAGTGTCTTAGAATATATTCTTAGAAGTGGGATCACTGGGTCAAATGGCAGCTCCATATTTAATTTTTTAAGGAAACTCCACACTGTTTTCCATAGTGGCTGTACCAGTCTGTCATCCTTTTTAAACACACTTCCACTTTCCAGGCTAAGACCAGCATAAAGTTGTCTCCCATTTGGCTATCCACATAACTACCAACCAAGTCACCATTCCTAAGTTTCTCGGACCTTCCAAAGAATGAGATACAAGCTAATCAACACTGGAGGCTTCCCCACCTCCCACCTCCTGAGAGATGTGGACCCATCTACCTGTTTGACATTCAGGATGTCATACCTCTCTGGGCTTCATCTGCAAAATACAGTGGTTGACCAGAACACCTAGCTCTGATGCTCTGTAATTCTAAAAGCATCTGTCTTAGATGCTTAATTAGAATCCACAGCAAGAAGTTGCTACCAGGTACTCCCCAGAGAGATGCTGAGGCTATAGAGCTTCTGGAATTTGTTGCCCAGCAGCCAGCACACACCTATTCTTGCACTGTTGTGCTGTCTACATGTGTGTCCCCTAGTAGCATATGAACCCCATAAGGGCAAGGACAGCATCTTGCACATGTCTGGCATATAGTATATATTTAATAGGTGTCTATAGAACAAATGGGAACTAGAGATAAATAGGTTCTCTATGCTCTAAATCTAAAGTAACATTCTTTTTTAAAAATATATATTTTATTGATTTTTTACAGAGGAAGGGAGAGAGATAAAGAGTTATTGTAGAAACGTCGATGAGAGAGAAACATCGACCAGCTGCCTCTTGCACACCCCTTACCGGGGACATGCCTGCAACCAATGTACATGCCCTTGACTGGAATCGAACCCGGGACCTTTCAGTCCACAGACCAACGCTCTATCACTGAGCCAAACCAGTTTTGGCTAAAGTAACATTCTTGGCCCTGGCCAAGTAGCTCAGTTGGTTGGAGCATCGTCCCAATATGCCAGGTTGTAGGACCCACCCATGTGCGGGGTTGGGTGGACTGGTCCTGGTGCCCTCAGGGCATTACCAGAATCAGTGGTAATGGTAATGGATTCATAAATAAAGTGGAACAACAAATGGATGCTGCTCCCTTCTCTCTCTCTCTAAAATCAATCAATAAGTGGAGAATATGTTTGTATATTTTCAGAAAACAACTCAGAGACCATGTGGATTCCCAGCAACACAGAGGAATTGACAGGACTACTCCAACCATGAAGACAGAAGAGAAGCAGTCTAGAGATGAAAGACACCTTGCCATAATAACAGTCAGCAGCTGTGTACCACTGCAGGTTGCCCACGACCAAACCAGAGAGGGTTGGACTTGCATTACCACCATTTGCCACCATCAGAACTAAAATATCATTGCTGACATGTACACATAAGGAACTGTTTAACATTGAAATTGGGTTTCAAAAGAACTGGCCCAGAAAGAAACTCACTACAGACTGATTCATTTGCCTTTAAGCATAACTATTATTGCTTGTCTCGTTTTCAATTCTTATAAGTATATTTCCAGTAGGACATGATCTCACTTATCTAGGGGAAATGGTGAACAACATAGACTGATAAACAAGAACAGACCCAGAGATAAGGAGCCATGGGTCGGACTGTTGGACCTCAAAGGGAGGGTGGGGATAAAAGGGAGAGATCAACTAAAAGGACTTGTGTGCATACATATGAGCCTAAACAGAGATCAAGGACAATAGGGGGTTGGGGGCAGGAGTGGGGAGAGGTGGGGATTGGAATGGGGAGTTGAGGACAAATATGTGATACCTTAATCAATAAAGAAATTAAAAAAATAAAATCTAAAAATTTTTAAAATATATTTTTATTGATTTCAGAGAGGAAGGGTGAGGGAGAGAGAGATAGAAACATAAATGACAAGAGACAATCACTGACTGGCTGCCTCCTGCACACCCCCCACTGAGGATCAAGCCCGCAACCCAGGCATGTGCCCTTGACTGGAATTGAGCCTGGGACCCTTCAGTCTGCAGGCAGACGCTCCATCCACTGAGCCAAACCAGCTAGGGCTAAAAAAAAAAGTTTTTAAAATAAAATAAACTGACATTCTTTTTTTTCTGGTAAGTTGTATTGTGTTTTTTTTGGTGTTTGTTTTTTTTTTATATGATATTCTTTTTTAAAATATTTTTTATTGATTTCAGAGTGGAAAGGACAGGGAAAAAGAAATAAAAACATCAATGATGCTGCTGAAACCGGTTTGGCTCAGTGGATAGAACGCCAGTCTGCGGACTAAAGGGTCACAGATTTGGTTCCGGTTAAAGGCAGGTACTTTGGTTTTGGGCACATCCCTGGTAGGGAATGTGCAGGAGGCAGCTGGTCGATGTTTCTCTCTCATCAATGTTTCTCTCTAATTGATGTTTCTAGCTCTCTGTCCCTCTTCCTTCCTCTCTGTAAAAAATCAATAAAAAATATATTTTTAAAAATATATCAATGGCCAAAACCAGTTTGGCTCAGTGGTAGAGCGTCAGTCCTCGGACTCAAAGGTCCTGGGTTTGATTCCGGTCAAGGGCATGTACCTTGGTTGCGGGCACATCCCCAGTAGGGGGTGTGCAAGAGGCACCCGATAGATGTTTCTCTCTCATCAATGTTTCTAACTCTCCCTCTCTCTTCCTCTCTGTAAAAAAAATCAATAAAATATATTTAAATATATATATCAATGATGAGAATCATTGATCAGCCACCTCCTGCACACACCCTATTGGAGATTGAGCCCACAACCCAGGCCTGTGCTCTGACAGGGTATCTGTGGATGACCTCCTGGTTCATAGGTCAATGTTCAAACACTGAAGCCACACCAGCTGGACTAAACTGACTTCTAAAGGCAACACTTGGGAGCACTGCCCCCACAAATAGGCATGTGCCATGGGAACGTGAGGGTGTAATACTTTTTAATCAGGACTGGCCTATAAAATCCAGGGTGTGGGATCTCTGTGGCCATAGGAGCCGAGGAAGGAGAGAAAACCCACAGAAATTAGCTGGCCTGGGCCAGCCTGGGGATCAAATCAGCATACTCTGCACAGCAGCCTGCTGAGGATTCCATTCCAAGCCCAGATTTGAGTGGAGGGAGTGTACTAATACTAGGTGAGTAAATATCTACGATGTGACAGATCCCTTATACAGTTTCCACATTTATTTATCAAAACATGGAATTTCTTCCTTACAATTGCCTTATGAAGGAGGTCATAGAAATCAAGAAATTTAGGTTAAAAGATTCAATAAGGAACCTAAGGTCCATTAAGGGATAAGGGATCAGCATTGTGTCAGGTTCCAAAGTCCACGCTTGGTTCCCCGTCTTGCAAGGGCAAGGCGGAAAGGGGGAAGAGGGGACCAGGGAAACAGGACAGCCCCACCGGCCTGGGATGCATACTCAGCCAGACTGGTGCGGTTACTAGGCTCTGAGTGAATGGGGGGCAGCAAGGTGCCTCCTGGCGTTCATCTGACCTAAGATAGAATGAGCCACCTGAGTTCACCAGAGCATGCACCTCCAAACACGGGAGCTCTGACATGCTCCTGCTGACGTTGGTTTGTGCAGTGGCAGATGCCCTGGATGCTAGGGAGCGGGGGTGCGGGGGGGGGGGGGGGGGGGGGGGAGGGGAGTGGATCCTGCTGCGCCCGGACCCCTGGAGGCTCTCACAACTCCCAAACCTGCCCTGCCCTCCCCTCTGCAACCTGCGGGCGTCGGAACCAGTCGGCCCAGCCCCGCTGGGAGGCCCGCAGGGAGGAGGCGGGACTTCGCGCGGCCAGGACTACAAGTCCCACAATGCCCCGGCTAGCGGCGGCGGCGGAGGGGGTGGGGGTGTCTCCAGGTGTCCGCGACCTCGGCGCCTCCGCCCGGAAGTGGCCTGGGGTCCGCTATGGAGCCGGCGCCGCCGGGCGGTGAGTCCCCGGGCCGCGCCCGCGCCCACCCCGCCTCCCCGGGCTCCCGCCGCCACCCGCCCCTCATCCCGGAACCGCCGCGCCCTCCCCGCCCGGGGTGCTGGGGCGACGGGGTAGTTGGGGATGGGGAGGGCGAAGCCCCGGACCCCCAGCTGGATGTGGTCCGCCGGGGGCTGGGCTCGGGGAGGCTGTCCGGGCGCCGCAGGGTGCGGCCGCGCTGGGAGCGGGGCGGCCGCCTCCGAGGCTCCGGAATGCGGGGGGCGGGGTCTGCCTCGGCGTGGGGAACCCCGGGGAAGCCGTCCGCGTGGTGGGTGGGGTTTGGGCACCTGGTGAGAGGGCGGCGGCGAGGAGGTCCCTTTCCTTCCCCCTTGGAGCAACTTTGGCAACAGAGCGGGAGCTAAGCTTTGGGGTAGATACGCGGCTCTGGGTGAAACTGGCGAAGGAACAGAGGGAAGGATAGGTAAGATTTAGGGTGAAGTTGGGTGGGAGTTGAATTTTGGGGAGCGGTGGCTCGGAAGGCACCTTATCTCCGGATAGTGTTTGGGTGAACTTGGGAGTTAAAGACCTAGTAGTGCTCAGTTACAAAAGTTAGGACTTGGAATTTGGTGATGGGAAGGGGCATGTGAAGCAAGTTTGGGGCACCCGGGAGTCCAGACCGTCGATGCCCTGGGCTGGGGCTGGGGCGAGGGGACAGTGAGGACGGTGGGAAGGTGGGGTGGGATGGGGTGAGGAGCCTGCTGAAGTTCAGAGAGCCGCTGGCCCCTATGAGCCAGCCCCTCAACCCCTAATGGGTTCTTTGTGCCTCTCCAGCTCAGTAGCGCTGCGGGCACGGCGGGTGCCATGGCCCTGATTGAAGGGGTGGGTGATGAGGTGACTGTCCTTTTCGCGGTGCTTGCCTGCCTTCTGGTGCTGGCTCTCGCCTGGGTCTCCACGCACACCTCGGAGAGCGCTGCCCCGCTGCCCCAGCCGTCAGGGACCCCGACACCAGCGCAGCCCAGCGGAGCCATGGTGGTCACCGACGCTGTCAGAGGGGAGGCCCCGGGAGCCGAGACTCCCAGCCTGAGGCACAGAGGTCAAGCTGCACAGCCAGAGCCTGGCACGGGGCTCCCAGCAGCCACACCCCCGCCAGACTCCCCGCAGGAGCCTCTAGTACTCCGGCTGAAGTTCCTCAACGATTCAGAGCAGGTGGCCAGGGCCTGGCCCCACGACACCATCGGCTCCCTGAAAAGGTAAGCTGGGATGGATGAGGAAAGGAACAGGTGCGAAGGAGTGGGTGGGAGTGACCATGGACCTAGAAGGGCCACCAGAGACACTGGAGACTCCCCCGTGTGTTTTTGTTTGTTTGTTTTTTAAATATATTTTTTGTTGATTTTTTTAGAGTGGAAGGGAGAGAGATAGTTAGAAACATTGATCAGCTGCCTCCTGCACACCCCCCACCAGGGATGTGCCTGCAACCAAGGCACATGCCCCTAACTGGAATCGAACCTGGGACCCTTCAGTCCGCAGGCCGATGCTCTATCCATTGAGCCAAACTGGTTTCGGCTCCCCCGTGTTTTATGGATGAGGGGACCCAAATGCCCAAACCACACACACACTGTACCATTCCCCTGTGGAGGCTGGGGCTCCCTGGGCGCCATGGCCTCGGTGGTGGTGGGGTGGAGGACAGAGTGAAGGGTGGGAGTATTATTCTGGGCCAGGGACTAGGATTGCCTGAGGCCTGCTCTATTACCCAGGTCCCTCTCTCCTCAGGACCCAGTTTCCCGGCCGGGAGCAGCAGGTGCGACTCATCTACCAAGGACAGCTGCTGGGAGACGACACCCAGACCCTGGGCAGCCTTCACCTCCCCCCCAGCTGCGTTCTCCACTGCCACGTGTCCACACGGGTCGGTCCCCCACAGCCCCCCTGCCCGCCGGGGTCAGAGCCAGGCCCCTCCGGGCTGGAGATAGGCAGCCTGCTGCTCCCCCTGCTGCTGCTGCTGCTGCTGCTGCTCTGGTACTGCCAGATCCAGTACCGGCCCTTCTTTCCCCTGACAGCCACGCTGGGGCTGGCCGGCTTCACCCTCATCCTCAGCTTCCTGGCTTTTGCCATGTACCGCCCGTAGTGCCTCCACGGGCTCTGGGCAGTGTGGCTGGCCCCTCAGGACCTTGGTCCCCACCGCGCCGTGGGAGCTGCTGTCTGCCCAGGCCCACCTCTCTGGCCTGTCTCTTCCCCCTGCCCCGGAGCCCAGCCCTGCGCCGCCGCAGAGCCCTCCAGGGGCAGGAGGCCCCGCTCTGTGACCTCCGCGGCTCTGAGCCACCGTCGGGGGCTGCAGGCTCTCGGCCACCACTGACCGAGGGCTCCTCCGGGTCAGCCGGCTGCTGTCGCTGCCTTGGCCCTGGGCAGAGTGGGGCCACACCGCCGGGCCCGGCCTAGTGTTCTGCCGGAAGACCCGGCCACCTCCAGTCCCTAATGCTCCTAGTGCTGATGTGGGACGCAGGGACCCTGGGGGGTGGGACGGGCCGAGGGGCGATCTGGAACTTGTGCTGATTAAATAACTGTGAAGTTTTCACTCTCGGTGTGTGTCTGCGCGTGTGGACCCGTGGGGGCGGGCGCCCTTGCCCACTGGGAGGAGAGCAGTGAGGGCGCGGCCCGGGCCCTCCGCCCGCCCAGCCCTCCCAGGCCCGCCGGCGTCCTCCCTCCCGCCGCCCGGGGCTGGCCCTGGCCCCGCCCCCGCGCCGCCTGCGCCGCTGCCCGGAAGCGAGGGGCGGGGCCGGCGCGCAGGGCCTGACGGGAGCCACGTCTCCGCCGGCCGAGGCCTGAGCGGCGATTGGCGTCCGGGGGCTGCTGGGAAGATGGCGGGCTCGGTGGCCGGTCGATGAGGAGGCCGCGGGGGGACCTCGGCTCCCGGCCCCCAAGACCGACTGAGGGAGCGGCCTGCGCGGGGCCTGGGGAGCCATGTAGGGGCGGCGCCTGCGGGGCGGGCCGCGGGGGGGCTGCGGGAGCTGGTGTCGGCGACCGTGACCGGGTCTCTTGGGGGTCCCCGGCCCGGGTGGGTGTGGGGGCCCCTGACACCGGCGCCTCCGCGCCTCCGCAAACCTGTGCACTCGGGCGCCACGGGCGTCCCCCGAGGCGGGCGCTGCGCCCTCGGTTCACTGGCGAGAAGGCTTAGGCAGACGAAGCCGCTGGCCCAAGGTCACGCAGCTGGTAAGTGGGAGCACCCAGCATGGAACCCAGGACCGTCCGGCTGTGGAGCCCGCGTTCCACCTTCTGCGCCGCCGCCGCCTCCTGCGGGCGGGGGAGGTGGTCTGGAGGGCCTATCGCGGGGCGATCTGGGCTCCAGGCTGGGCGCACCCACTAACCAGATCCCTGACCCTGGGCTTGGCTTAACCCCTTCTCTGGGTCTCGGTTTCTCCACCTGTGAAATCGAGGGAAGGCCAGTCTTGCCTACCACCCCATGGGCGTGTAAAGGAGGCAGAGAAGAGAATGCATGTGGAATTGCTTTGTAAATATCCCTCCGCTGAGAACACAAAAGGATTGTGATTGCTGTTCCCAAGGATGGAAGGAGGCAAAGGGAGAGGGGCGGGTGGGGAAGAGGACCAGGGCAGTCACAAAGAAGGCTGAGCATGACTCTGGTTTGTTCTGACCCTAGAGCCCTCTGAATGGGGAGTGAGGTGAGGCGTAGATAGCAGGCTTTTCTCCCCTTTGGAGAAAACCTCACCCCCTTTTCTGGGCCGCCCTCAGGGTCTCCATCACCCAACTCCATGCTTCGAGTCCTGCTTGCTGCCCAGGCCTCTGCTGCTCAGCTGACTGGCCTGCTGCTGTTCCCACCAATACAGCCCTTCTGTCTGGGGCCCAGCAAGTGGGGGGACCGGCCTCCTGGAGGAGGCCCCCACGCAGGTCCTGTGCAGGGGCTGCAGCGGCTCCTGGAACAGGCGAGGAGCCCTGGGGAGCTGGTGCGCTGGCTGGGCCAGAACCCTACCAAGGTGCACGCCCACCACTACCCAGTGGCGCTGCGTCGGCTGGGCCAGCTCTTGGGGTCTCAGCCACGGCCCCCGCCTGTGGAGCAGACTTCACTGCAGGACTTGAGTCAGCTCATCATCCGAAACTGCCCCTCCTTTGACATTCACACCATCCACGTGTGTCTGCACCTTGCAGTCTTACTTGGTGAGGAGGGTTGCCTGGGGGTGGGTGTTAATGAAAGAGGAGAGAAGAGCAGTAGAGGACCCAAGGCCACTGACAGAATTCACCTCTTAGGCTTGCCAGAATAGCCACACCGACCCACTGTGGCTCTCCCACACGGGCATCCGGAGCCAGCAGCGTTTGCTGCAGCCTTAGGGTGCTGCCTCAGATCCCTGTGCCATGGTGCTCCAGGAGCCCCCACCATTTGTCACCAATAGAACGAGACGAGAACATATTTGCCACTTTTGTAGAAAGCCTTCCCCATAAGCTGTTCTGATCCCTTAGTTCACATGGTATGTCACATTTCTCCAGTGTTTCCACTTACGCTATAGCAAACCTTCCAGCCCAGGAAACAGGTGAGAGAGGTAGGGGCTTCACTACACTAACAACCCCAGGACTGGAGCAAAGCAGAGCAGCTCCGTCACTAGTCACCAGGACTGCCTCCTCTGACCCTCTCCCTCTCAGGCTTCCCGTCAGATGCGCCCCTGGTGTGTGTCCTGGAGCGGGAGCGGAGGGCCCGCCTCCCCCCGAAGCCGCCTCCCCCCCTGCAACCTGTCCTTCGTGGTGGGCAGAGGTTGGAAGCTGCTCTGAGCTGCCCCCACTTTCAGCGGCATCCACAGCAGCACCTCATCCGGAGTTTGGCAGGTGCCTGAGGGGTTTAAAGGCAGGTTGGGGGTCAGGGGCCAAGGGAGAGGCAGGTGGTGGGGTCTAGGCCAAGGTGGACACTAGTCTGAAGGTCTGGCCCAAGGGTCCAGTGTGATAGGCTGTTCTTCGCAGAGGCCAGGCCAGAGGAACTGACTCCCCACGTGATGGTGCTCCTGGCCCAGCACCTGGCCCGACACCGGCTGCGGGAGCCCCAGCTTCTGGAAGCCATTGCTCATTTCCTGGTGGTCCAGGAAGCCCAGCTCAGCAGCAAGGTGGGACTGCCTCCCATGCTTCCCAGACACCCTGCCAGGCCCCGCCCCCGCCCAGCTTGATTGGCTGCTGTCCTATAGCAAACAACCAGGCCACGCCCTATCCCCAGGGCTCCATCTTGGCTCTCCTCCTCCTTGGCTTCATCTCCCGGCACGTGCAGTCCTCCAAGCACTTGGCACCGTCTTCACTTGTCCCACTCCTCTAGGCCTGCAGGGCCAGGCCCATAGCAATGTCTCCTCCAGCTGTTTGGTGATTGATTGCATGGGACACTGCTTATGCCACAGACTTCTGGTGTCTGTCAGGCAGAGGGGTGGCCCTGCCCTTGCAGTGACATCTAAACGTGCAGATCAAGCCTCCTGGAGGCTCACCCTGTCCAGGGTTTTGGAGAATGTTCCATGCCGGTGATGGCTACTCTCCCTCTACAGGTGGTACAGAAGCTGGTCCTGCCCTTTGGGCGGCTGAACTACTTCCCCCGGGAACAGCAGTTTATGCCCTGCCTTGAAAGGATCCTGGCTCGAGAAGCAGGGATGGCCCCCCTGGCCACTGTCAACATCTTGATGTCACTGTGCCAGCTTCGGTGCCTGCCCTTCCGAGCGCTGCAGTTTGTCTTTTCCCCGGGTTTCATCAACCACATCAACGGTGTGCAGACAGGGAGGCTGGCTGGGACCTGGAGGGCTGGCGGGCAGGGGGGAGGGGGGAGTCTGTAGCCCGGCAAACCTCAGTCCGCTTCCTGCAGGCACCCCTCACGCCTTGATTGTTCGGCGCTACCTCTCCCTGCTGGACACGGCTGTGGAGCTGGAACTCCCAGGATACCAGGGTCCCCGCCTTCCCCGAAAGCAGAAAGTGCCCATCTTCCCCCAGCCACTCACCACCGACCGCGCTCGCCGCAAGTACAGGTGGATGGGCAGCTGGGGAGGCGGAGGGGCCAGCCCAGAGGCAGCAGAGTAGAAAGGCCAGGGAACTGGGATCTTTTTAGGCCGATACTCATAGTCAAATAAATGGGCCTTGAAGCAACAAAGGCACTTGCCTAGGGTCCCAGAGCTGGGGGAGGGGTCACACCAGACTCCTGGGCCTTCCTGCTATCGCGTTCCACTCCCCTCAGCCACAAGGACATAGTGGCGGAGGGGCTGCGCCAGTTGCTGGGGGAGGAGAAATACCGCCAAGACCTGACCGTGCCTCCCGGTTACTGCACAGGTGAGCTCCAGGTGTGCGGGCAGGCAGCAGGCGGACACGGGGCTGTGGCTAAAAACCAGCGGCCCTCTCTCTTCTCCCACCTTACAGACTTCCTGCTGTGTGTCAGCAGCTCCGGTGCTGTGCTTCCTGTGAGGACCCAGGACCCTTTCTTACCTTACCCTCCCAGGCCCAGGCCCCAGGCCCGGGCTGCCTCTCAGCCCGTCACCCAGGACCCTGCCCAGAGGTAAGGGAAGAGGCAGGAGGGCCTCGCCCGCCGTCGTGGGCAGCGACCCTGAGCCACAGCCCTCTCTCTCCCAGGGTGGTGCTGATGCTGCAGGAACGCTGGCACTTCTGCCGGGACAGCAGGGTGCTGCTGGGCTCCCGGGCCCTGCGGGAGCGGCACCTGGGCCTGCTGGGCTACCAGCTTCTGCCGGTGAGCCCGCCCCGCCCCGCCCCGCCGATTCTGTGTCCACTCCCGCACCCACAGGGCCTGTGGATAACCTGCTGCCTCTCCCCACAGCTACCCTTTGAGGAACTGGAGTCACAGAGAGGCCTGCATCAGCTCAAGAGCTACCTGAGACAGAAGCTGCAAACCCTGGGCCTCCGCTGGGGCCCTGAAGGGGGGTGAGGGGATGCACATGGGCTTCAGGATGCTCCCCTATGGGGGGTGGACAGTTTGCACTTTGGCTCCCTCTGTTTTTATTCATTAAAGTCCCTTCCTCCTTCATTGCACATCTTGTTTCTGGGATGGGGAGCAGACTGGGTCTCCCCACTTCTTTTCCATCCACGCCCCCACCCCTCATACAGAGACAGAGGCCGAGGATAGGTGGGGGCCGAAGCACTTTACTGTGGGGAAGGGAAGGGAAGGAGGAGAGGAACGGGGAGGGAAGGAGAGGAAGGGGCTTTAAATTAATCACTTAAATAAAAATGAGGAGGGAAGGGGGTGGGAGAGCACGCCTCGCCCCGGTTCCCTCTGTCCATCGTCCGTCCCGGCAGCAGCTACACGGGCATGGGCATCTCGTTGTACTCGTCCACACCCTCCCGCTCGTCGAACACCGGCTCCGCCTCGTTGGCATCCAGCTGCAGGGGAGAATGGAGTCAGGGGGCTGACCCCAGCCAGGACCCTGGCAGGGACCAGAGAGGGGGCTCGGGGCAGGAGGCAGCGGCCTTACACATTTCATCTCCCGGTCGGTGAAGATGCGGGTGAGCACCACCATGCGCAGAGGCACTGTGAGGATGAGGATGAAGGGGAAGGCCAGCGAGGCCTCCGTGGACATGACGGCCCACAGCAGGGCCAGGCAG